TCCCCGTCCCTCCCTCAGTTGAGGCAGGAAGAATGAATCTCTTCTTCTGGTATTTTCTTTTCCACATCTTAAATTCAGAATGAAAAGCTACTTTATCATGCCCAGCATCAATAAATCCAGTTATTTATATAATCCTGCTATTTGAAGATGTACAGATATCCTAGCAAAATAAAGTCAAATTATATTTAGTAGGCTGTTGGGTTGACTTTTTTGCCTAATAGAAAATAAATGCATTCAACAGATAGTTACTGAGCACCTGTCCTGGGTACTTTGTATACTACGTTAAACAGTTTCAATTCTGTAATGATGTCACAGCATGACAGTGTTGATCCAGTAACCTTTGTGTACGTCTTATTTTCTGAAAGCAACGGAACCTTGTCCCTTAGGACAAGGGTTAGGGTTAGGGTTGGTTAGGGTTAGGGTTAGGGTTAGGGTTAGTGTGGTCACAGCAGGTCTTTCTTCTTAGTTTGAAGTTAGTGTTGGAAACCTTCAAAGTGTCTCAGCTTTTTTCTTTTGTACTCGGTACTTAAAACTGAATAATTTAATTCCAAAAGTTAAAATATTGCTTATTTTATCTATTCATAAATTGCAGACATTCCAGAATATTAAAAGCTTTCCTTAATGTAAGAAAGAAATTTAGGCGACAATGTTGCTTTACTTTGATATGATTTTTAATGCTGAGTTTCACATACGTCCTTAAGAATTTACTGTCTCCAGTTAGAGAATGGGGTTGGGAAGAGGTATGGAAGGGCCGTTCCCGGTGGTGTGTACGGAGTGTGCTGTATGCACAGTGGGAAATGAGACCCGTTATCGTGAGAATGTAATATGCACTCGTCAGGAAGACTTGAGTGTCTCCAAGTAAAGGAGGAGTTTGCATCATCTATCAGTCTCAGTGAAAGCTAAGAGTACTAGGAAGTAAGCCGTAGCAATAACTTGTGTTCTGTATTTTGCCTTAAATGAAAATAGAACCTCTTACTTGCGAGGGTTTCTCCCCTTAGTTCTTGATATAGCTGTTCTATGACTATCAAAAACATTTTTAAAAAAGAAACATAGATGAACAAGATGTAGAGGAAAAGTGACAAAGGTGAAGATTTGGCAAGAAGTAAACCTGGACTCTTGGGTCTTTATAGTCTTTTGTGTGTCTGAAACATAATAAAATACATTTATTTATTTATTTATTTATTTACTTTGCTTTTTAAGGAGCAGACTCTTACTTATTGGGGAAAGAAAGCTCCTGTCTGAGACAGTAGGGGTCCCGAGTGGGGTGCAGAGGACCCTGCCTCTCAGGATTTTTATAGCGCAGAACCTCGAGCTGAGGCGGGTGCAAGGTGAGGAAAAACAGGAAATCACGAGGCAGGCACGAGGTGGGACGAGACTGTGGCCAGCCAGTAAGAGTATGAGCATCATGTCTCAGGTAACATCGATGAAATCAGGATCAAAAGGGAACTAAGTCCCCTAGCGAGCGGTTCTGAAACAGAACAGGGGCTCTTCCTGTAGGGGGTTGGGTCAGTGGCTCTTCCTGGCTTTCTGTAAAGTACTAGTAGATGAATTCTTCCTTTAGAAATTTATTTTGTACATTTCTGCAAGTGTTTCATTTTTACTGTGAAGAGTGGACCCGTGCTGAGTCTGTGGGTGTGCGATTTGTGGATGTTAAATTTCACGCTGTGAAGGTGAAACAGTCCTCTGCTGTCAGGTCTTTATAAAGAGCTTGCCTGTGGATGGCAGTAGCAGTTGTCATCTCACTATCTGACAGTTGAAGGCAAGAGACAGGTCATGCTCTCGTGGAACCCTTCGAGCGACAGGTCAGCAAAGATTCTCATTTTAGCTGTTCACATGTGAATGTTTCATTGTCATTTAGGTCTTACTTGCTTAATCAAAAATGATGTCTCTTTAAAACGTGTTTATGCAAATTAATCATATTAGATAATAGTAAGAGTTTATTCATTGTGTATCTACATTAAATCCAGATTATACATCTGTATGCAATACATACATTCACACACACATGTGTATATATATACTATATGTATCTGTTTTCACAGCGTGAACTTATTTTCTTATATTTTGCTTCTAAAACTAATAGCCACATGAATGCCTCTGAGTTAAGTTAGACTGGCTTCAAAAGTCTGCCTGACCCTGGCGAATGGTTCTGGTTTCAGTTCGAAGGTGAGTTGGGCTGGGTGGGTGCGTAGCGCTATGTGGAGAGCAGGTCCGTTTACAATGCATTCATCGATCTCTCTTCCTTCAGTGGAAATGCCAGAACGGAATACATTCGTAGGAAGTAGGAAAGCTGTCTTTAGTGGAAAGGAGTCCTGGGGGCTTTGTGGGAAACAGACGGCAGCTGCAGGATGCCATCCCTAGAGTCCTTCCCGTGGGGAGACGAGGCCTCCAGGGAAGGGAGAAGTGGCCTCTTGGCAGGGGCTCCTGCAGGTCCGAGTTCGCAGTCCCCTGCACAGGGTGGGGTGCTTCTCTGCGATGCAGAGTGTGGAGGACACGCATGGCTCCAGGGGACACTCTCCCTGAACCCCGAATGAAGAGCGGCTCCCTGGCCGGTCCTCACAGGCTAACACCTGGAGAGACCTCTCCAAAGAAAAGGAGCTGTGGGGAGGATGAGCAGAGGCTTCCCTGTGGTGGGGAAGAACTGATGTCACAGGGAAGAGAAAATTAGCAGCAACAACAAAATAATTCCTGGCTGCCGAAACAGGGAAGGGCAGTGCCCCAGAAGGACAGAGCAGCCACCCGGAGCAAGGCCTCCCTCACTTGCCGTGCTGAGGCCCAGCGGGCCTGTGCCTTCCTCTTCATGTCCTTTACGTGCCACTTCCTTCCCTTCTCAGGAGGAACCGGGTGTGGAAACTTACACTGCCACGAAGAAGCCCTCCAGCCACCTGTACCAATGAGATGTGGTTAGCTTAACAGAAGTTGTCAGGTGTTGGGGGGAAAATGCATGAATGAAGGACAAAAAACAGTTGCTCTAGAGCCACCAGGAGAACTGATGGTCCTGGAACTCACTATACACAAGTCCAGTGCAGCGTAGCGTTCCGAGGGCAGCCTGCCTTACACAGTTCCGTGTTTTTCTTGCGGGGAGGGAGTTGGATATGGGAAGTGGAATGCAAACTTCCTACCTGTTGTAGTCAGGGCTTACAGGGAGAGATTTCAAACAGGGCATGCAGGTCTCTTTCAAGGCTCTGCACTGGGAAGGTCCAGCGGTGAGTGGGGGAAGCTAGAAAGTCTGTGTCAGTGGGATGAAGGATCTGTGCCAGCAGGCTGAGGGATCTGCCCTGGAGCCAGAAAGCGACCCTCAGGGTAAGGACCAAGGACCAGAGCTCCTCGGAAGAGAACCACCACCATCCTCAGCGACAGCAAGGACCTGACCTCCTCTGACGATGGTAACAGCTGAGTTCCTATTAGGAAAACCAACGTGACAGGCTTCTCCAGGAGAATCTTCACTCTCCAGTTCTCCTTTTACGCTGTTAGACAATCCTCAGGTCACCCACGCCCGGCACCACCTGATTCAGTTCAGCCGAGTGCTACAAGTTGCCCATTAGTTAATCTTCACCGCTATCCTTATGCGTTAATGTTACTTTGTTGCTTATGTTGAACCATTTCAGCTGAAACAAGTTTAAGAAAAATGATGGATTTGCGCCTGCGTATCACCTTGTTGCGGAGCAGATGGGGTGAAGATGTTATCATGAAGTCAGTTTGCCATAGAGTCCATGTCAAAAAGTTGGAATAGTAGTTTTAATTAAAAAAAAAAAAAACTGTGAAAGTATATTGAGAATTCTTGAAGTCATTAACTGAATTGAAAATGTTACTACCAGGGATATAAAAGATATTGTTTATATTTTAGTGGTAAACCACAATGAATAGATTTTTAATTAATGGCACGTGGCTACTAATGAATTAGCAAAGAAAATATGTAGCAGCCCTTGCAATAATCTCTCTCGTAGAAAAACAAGTGCTAGGAGCCGTTCCTATGCTGCTGAGGGAAATCTAAAAATTGCACTGAAAATGGCTTCATGTTAATTTTGCTGTGTTAGAGGTGATAAGGAAACGTGCAAAAAGGCGGAGAGGAGAACTGGATACAGTGGAGATGATCGATCATAAGGCCAGCAAAAGAGATGTATTCAGACTGGAGCGAGGTGTGGGCTGAACTTAGGCATGGGAGGATGAGGGAAAGGAAAGGTCAGGTATGTAGCATCTCTGTTCGTTTTCTCTTTGAAAACCAAAATCTTGCTGCACATACTTAGGCAGAATACGTAAGGACTCAGGGATGCTGTCATAGTCGATGATACACCTGAGCATAAGGTTCCTGCCGTCTTGGGCCTCTGTGGTGGCTGCTTTGCTGTTGCATTGAGCCCAGAACTGAGCAGCTCCGATGCTCGTGCAGGCTGCACATGCCCTTCTTCGGCTTTTGCTTTTGGAGGTGTGAAGGAGAGGGGAGGGAGGAGAGACAGACAGACGATGGGGCCGACTGACTTGCAAAGCCTGTTGGTTCCATACTGTTGGGGACGAGCCACAGGCTGAACTTAGGAATCGTGTTCAGCCTGGTCCTGTGCACTGACTGACACTGTCTCTTCAGGAAATAGTTCATGGAGTTGAAAAAATAAGAGTCCACAGGAAACGTCATGGGGCTCCACGTGAGTTGTTTATGGATTAGAATGCAGATGGGGGTGCAAAGACAAAGGTGGTATGTAGCTGGCCAGGTAGTAGCTGGCTGTGCCAGAAAGCGGAAAAATCCTCTTCAACATGGTGCACTGTTTTTATTCCATCCATCTTGGGTAAGACTGCTTTTGAACCTGGTGGTGGGACTTCCTCGCCTGCCTTCCTGCCTGCCTGTCTCTGTCTGTCTGTCTCTCTGTCTGTCTTGCTCTGTCTTTCTGTTTGTGAGGGAGCCCAGTAAAGTCTGGTGATTGCTATGCTTTCCTCTAAACTCTGTGTTGGTGTTGGAAATTTCCAGTTCAGCTCATATGCTCTGTGCCCCCTCCAGCCAGCGTTACGTGAAAAAGCCAGTAAGGATGAACATCTGGTACAGAAACCTTCCTGACTTAGGGAGGTTTGCTGCATTTAGAGTCTCCCTCTTCGTTCACACACACCGGAGCCCAGCTGAGACGGCGAGCCTCTGCACGGTGAGCTGCACAGAGGTCAGCGGGCCGGGGTCCCTGGAGCGCTGTTGCTTAGGCTGGAGAGACACTGCATCTGAGAGGTGCTGCCTGCCGGGGTGCTGCTCTTTCCTGACTCAGTTTTGTGAAAGGACAGTGGGTGTGAATCGTTGGCTGGAAGCTCTTATCCTCTGATCACCAGCCAGAGTTGAGCTACACTGGCTTCAAGAAATTTCAGCCTTCTAAATCCTAGCTGCCAAAACCCCAGATTTTGCTTTAATTACTTCCTTTCCTTGAATTACTTTAAAGTTGTAGGAGGTATTTTTATTTTTCTTAAGGACCATTAAAAGTGGTTTAGAAATGAACTAGATAATGTAATTGAATGATGCGGGGCTAAAGTGTGTATTTTTTTACTCTCACTTAGGTATAGCGAAAGCAAATTAGTAGTTTGCTCATAAAAAGCAAGTTACTAATTCGGATTTAGCATTCTTCTAGTTGAAGGAACTTGTAAGTCACCGAAGTTTAGTACATCTTGGGCTGGGTATGGCTCATGGCCATTGTGCGTGACTTCATTTTATCCTCCACCCTCTGCCCCCAAAACACTTTATTTTGTATAATTTATTGTTAGAATAATCTTTGTCCAAAAGTGACTTTGATAGATTAAATCAAACCTCATAGCAATTTATAAAAATCTGGAACTTCATGTCAAGAAAAAGTTTTGTAAAATAATTTTCTCAAAGTTAGTATCAAGAATATTTTAGTAATGCTTTTCAGCAAGGTCATTAGTGAAATACTTTTGTCTTCGCCATCTCATAATTCTCAATCATAGCTACGCTCTGTTGTTACAGTGTTGGCTTTTATCAGCTGGAGAATGATTTTAGGTTAAGTGCTTTGAAATTTATATTTTCTTTTTTTTTTTTTTTCCGGCATGGGGAATCAAACTCACCACCTTGTGCTTGCCAGGCAGGTGCTGTGCCGCTGAGCTAAATCCCCAGCCCCTTGAAATTTATATTTTCTTGCAGTTTTATCAAATACTTTGTAAGTGGGGTGTTCAGATATATTGTGGAACCAAGCGAAGATTCTTGTCCTTGTTTTTCACTAGTGTCTAAATTAATGTTGAATTAGTTAGCCTTTGATTCAAAGAAGAAACACTTCAAAAAACCTGGCGCTTTTTTCTGGAACTTAATTTCCCCTGGTCCTTCTAACACTGAGTTTTTCACAGGCCTAAACACATCACCTAGTCCCCCTTTACGTCACTGAACTTTCTAGCTGAAATTTGTTTGAATTAAGAAGCTGCTGCTATATTATTAGTAGTTCACTTTTTTTCTTCTGTCATTTTGTTGAATAAAGTTACTGCGTTGTCTCTGTAACAATTTCCATGGAAACACTCAGATCCCTCAAAGAGCATAGTGTGGTGTAGCCTGTAAGAGGTACAGGAATTTAAAGAAGCTAGAGATTTTTATGTAAGAATAGAAAATGTCCTTGTAGAAGATGAACTTGAGTAAAGTTCAGACTGTGTTTTTGCCAAACTTGTTCTCATTTTGGATGCAGCATTTAATAGGATTCCAATTTTTTTTTTTTTTTTTTTAAACAAAATGAGTTTTAAAATTCTGAAGATGATTTTTCTTTCTAGGAGGAAAGATACCAACAGTCTTTTAAAGCTCAGCCCTCCCCACTTTGTAGCAGGATGTGCTGCTATGGAGGGGAGCAGACTGAGACGCTGGTAAAATGCCCAGGCTCACGCATCTGTAGCTTAGATTTGTAGAAAGGCAGCCTGTAGATAGAACCTTGTGATTTTCCTTATAAAACCCTAAGACCGTTTCAGCTGTTACCCAGCCATATGGCTTCCTTACCTTGTTTGTTGGTGAGTACATTGGATTTATTCAAAACAAAAGAGTATCCATACGGCTGTGTGACAGAAGCCAGCAGAATTTCCTGGTGGACCCTTTGACTGTCCACCCAGGAAGGTGTGCAGCCCTGGATAAGGCGGGCGTTTCTTCTGGAAGCAGAGTGATAAGTGAGGGCTCCTGGAGTGTGAGGCAGAGGAAGGAGACCATCCTCAGGAAGAGGTCAGCTTTCCTCCTTGCGTCGTGGGTGTTGTGTTGGACAGGAGTTACAAAAGGCCTTTAAATTCTGTTACTGTGCTTCGTATTTCAGCCTCAGGGTCTGACCGCAAGTAGCAGTCATGTGAGTAGCTAGAGAAAGCTGACAGGAAGCAGTCAAGGTCAGCAGGCACCTGGTTGTAAAAGGAGGATTATAAAGAGTGAGACAGGACAGAATTTAGAGGGATGGGCCAGGGGTGGAGCTCAGCAGCACAAGTGCCTGCCTGGCAAGAACAAGGTCCTGAGTTCAATTCCTGGTACCAAAAAGAAAAAAAAAAAAATACAGGGAAACAGCCACTTCAATAAGTTGGTGTTTTCAGAGCTGGTATGTAATTGTATTTTTCATGTGTCAGTAGTATTTAAGTTTGATCTAAGAAATATGGGTAGTAAATAAAAATTTCTTAAATTGCTAATCTTTTCTCACCTTTCCAAGGGAGAGAGCATATCAATTAGATCTGAGAATTGTCATTTTTAGTTAATGGCTGAGTATTGGAAAGTTGTTGAAATTATTGTGAATTGGTTTTTGTCCAAATAATTGCATGATTCCAAGTTACTTGTTAAATTTGGTTCACAGTGAAAAGTTTCACATAGCGGCTCCTTCCCATGATCTTTGGCTGTCATCAGAGAATGCTCCAGGTCAGTGATGGCAAACGTTTCAGAGCTTTCAAGGATAACAGCCCATCGGGGCATCCGTGTGGCATAGGTTCGCCGCGACTTCCCTCGGTTGTCAGCTTGTTCTGGAAGTGAGCTTGTGTGGTTTTGAACTCGTGACTCTGGAAGCATGCTATGAGGACAAAGTGGGTGTTACTTAATGACAGATTCAGCGCATCTGTTTGTGCTGCATAGTGCTGTGTGGCGAACGGGCAGAGTCACTTGGAGGAACATGGAATCAGGAACTGCCACGCAGTGCGAACAGAGTAATCACCCCAAAGTTAACTCTTCCTTTTAGCTCCACTTAAGTAGCACGGCACTCTGTATACGTGTACTGCCTGCTCGCTCTTTTCATTATTCTGTACTTTATGAAACCTGGGTGCACAGCAGTAGAATTCAGAGATCTTTTAGGAAAAATGCTTCCTGAAAGTAATGAATGCTAAAAGGAAACAGAGTCATTCAGAAGTTCGTGCCTTAGAGGGTAGGTGGGCGGGGACCCTGATGCCCACCACTGTGTATAGCACAGCTCCAGAACTTTGCATATTCAGGCTGTCTGCTAGTAATCAAGGGCATCTAAATTCTGACTCAAAGAAATGACTGGAATAGAATGAGAAAAGGGCTTTACTTTTGAAAACATTTTATGACCCAGGTGCTGAGCATTCTGGACCTACTACAGGCTTTTTTCAAGATAGGTGGGTTTTAAAACTGAATTGGTTCTAAATTACATGAGGCTTATGTGGGTCAGTATGTTTCCCCCAGCGTGACTCGCAGCCTTCCAAGTTGTGAATCCAGTGAGATTCTGTTCTGTAGTGCAGCGTGGAGAAAGTGTTATTCACATAAATGCACTCATCTGCGCGTACATTTGCGTGTTGTGGATTGAGTTCTGGCTTCTGTTACTTTGGTAATTTGGTGCTTTTGGTTTCTGGTTTAGTGCATCCAGCTCTGGATACCCTAAAAAATTCATCAGTTTCACTCTCGTGTTCCTCTAGCTTGGAGGAAGGCTGGCTGCTTTCTCTTTTGCACAGCCGGGAGACAGGTCGCTGACCTCTGAAGCAGTGTTGGGTTTACTTCATTGGAGCTCACCCGATGTTAATGAAAGCAGAACAGTGAATTAGACAGTGCTGACTTCAGAGTGGGGCGACTTGGGTGGGGGAATCTCAGAAGAGAACATGCTGTTATGGGCAACACCCAGAGAAAAATCGACACACCATGATAAAAGTTGTTGGGTATTTCTGGCCCACCAAGAGAGCAGAAGAGTGAGAGTTCCGTTGTCCTCTCAAATAAACTTAAGAAAATCAGCCTGGTTTTCATTCCACAGCATAGCTTTTATCAAAAAGAAAAACAAGACTGATCCCAGAAAAAATTTATTGGTGGGTGAAATGTATTGTTCTTGTCTTTATCTCCTCCCTGCTTAGCTGTCCTGCATCTGGTTAAACCCTCCCTCCTATTCCTTTAAAACCTTTTCTCAGAAACCAGATGAGATTTGTTCTGAAGAGTCAACAGCTGCAAACAACTTCCCCTGTCCTCTGCGCTACTCCAGGATCCTAACAGTGCCTTAAAATAGGAATCAAACCCCAGTGTCTGCAAGGGGAAAGCAACAGATCTGCCTGGATTTGAGACAAGAGGGAGTGGGGGGCTTTGGCCTGCCGGGGAGTAATCTGTGTGAGTGGGCAGGCGCCCCCGGCGCGGCAGGTGGGCGTGGGGGGGCTTCCAGATCACCGTGACTTTGATTCGTGGACGAGATCTGACTCAGTCCTCACGACATTCAGCAGTTTTGAAAGTACTGTGGCGATAACAAACAACTTCTGATACCCATGGTGCCCCTCTGAACAGTAGAGGCCAGCAGCTCCCACGCAGAGATCTTGAACAAAATATGCTTTTCTTAAAGCTAAATTTCTTTATTGTCTTTTTTGGGGAGATATTTGTCTTTATTATTGGTTGGTGTAGGAATATAATTGCTTTTACAAAATAACTTGGCAGTAGGGTAAGCTTTTACCTGCATTTAGTGAAATTTGAAGGGTGACAATCCTAAAATAAAATAAAAAACTTAGACAATGTATTTTCAATATTTAAAGATGCATTTTGAAACTTAAAAGCATAATTCTTTATGAGTGGGTATTCAGAGCTCCAGGTGGGTTGATGGAAGCAGTAACCAAGGCTCTGTTCATTTAAAAAATTTATCATGAACCAGGAACTCAACCAGTCAGCTTGCCTTGATACCCAAGAAGCAGAATTCTCCAGTCTGCATCGCGCAGGCTGTTAAGTGAAAGGGGC